TAACGACCTCACTCTCGGTTATTAAGTAGTTATTCATCTCAGCAAGATTTCCAAGACAAATTAAATGAGATTTCAAACATCTGCCTGACTTTTTCAGTTATTAGAAATAAACTGATGTAAAATTTTATAACAACTCATGATACTTCAGTGCATATAGCGTTACCAGTAAATTACTGTAGTTAATGAATTTAAGATAAATTTTCCATCAGGTAAATGAGTCATTTGGTACTTAACCTTCTCAAACTCATTAATAATTCGTCAAGTTAAAACAAAGAAAATCACAAGCGTGAAGGAGGTTTGGATACCCAGTTTTAATTAGCATAGATTTTGACGATTTTACTTCTCCAATTACTCCTTATTTTTTGCTTCGATTGAGAAGATGTATTACTCGAGACGGCATTTCATCGGCTATCTAAACACCTCGAATGTCATCAAAAATACTCTGCTGTGCGTCGTATTTTCAACTCTCTTCTCAATGTTTGGATATCCCGATGAAACACTGTCTCTCGTGTTTGATATATTACTTCACACGTCATGCTCATCGTTGTGCCCCCTTAATTTTCAGAGGACCATTGACTACCAAAGTCTGCTTTAGCTAATTAGAGGACAAGCAATTTTCCATATTCATTTGATATATCCATTTTTAATACTTCAAGTATCTTCAATGGCTAATGCATACAGCAAAAATGATGTTTTAAAAATAGTAATGTAAGGCGGCTGTATACGGTTATAGTCACCTGATTCAAAACCAAATAACACCAAGTTCATATTGCCACCCTCAAACTGTGGGGTTTGCGGTGCTGGACGCTCATGTCTTCTTTCAGCAAATTTTCGTCTGAGGAGGCTGACAAAGAACAACAGAAAGTGAAGCACCTCTGAGGACCTCTTTCACATTATCTTTATGAGGAATCCTGACTGATCGTATCATGGATTTTAATCAAGATCCATAGAAATCCTGGTCAAAAATCTTTAGGATTTATAACAAATATAAGGATCTTAAAAATTCTTGCCAAGATCTTTGAAGATCTTTGCATTAAAGAAGAACTATCACATTTGAATATAATTGTCAATATGCTGTAACTTGGTTCAAGCTCCTATAGACCCTCTCAGAATATCAGCCTTGCTCCTGAAAGGGCCAGCCGCAGTACATGACCCTGCTATGGCTCTACAGATGCATGTACAGCAGCTGTATTAATATAACAAGTTTCTCATCATGCAGACAGCTCTGCTGCATTCTCCAGTTTGTTTTCATGTCTGAAAATCTTTGTTACAGGTAGTAGCAATAGCAGGCTTTGATTTCAGTAAAGACATTTACATTTTTAATACTCTATAACCTTATGTTTGGTAATACTGTATTATAAGATTAAATTCACCAGCTTGCTCTCACTCAGATTTCAGAAAAGGGTAACTTTACACAGCAGGTGGTATCTTTGTGGTATCAAATCACTGACAGTAGTTCTCCTCCTCGCACACAAAAGCATATACATGTACAGTCAAACCTCCCATAAGCGAACACCCAAAACGTGAACCCTAGGTGGTCGCATACTGGAGATGGTCGCTTACGAGAGCTTGAACCATATTGGGTCAAAATTTTGCCTCATCAGCATATGGTAACTGCAGAGACCTAACCCTTGTTTTAAATATTTTATTCATGTGACAAGTCAATTTTGAGAAAAACTGCAATACTTCCCATTGAGAAATTTCCGTGTCTTGTACTATCCAGGAATGCGATAATGTTACAACACCTTATTATCCAATTTCCACTCTATTATCTGTCAAGTGGTTGCTTAAGGGAGGTTAAAAGCCAAAGAAAATTTAGCTCTAAAGGTGGTCATGGTTGCTTATGAGAGGTGGTCGCTTACAGGAGGTTCCAAATATAGTGATAGGACATGGAAACTTTTGGTATTTTGGAAAACTGGTCGTCGAGGAGAGGTGGTCACTTACGAGAGGTGGCCGCAGCCAGAGGTTTGACTGTTTTCACATATGATGCTAACTAAATAGGAAACCCAATGCTCACAAATTAGACAAGAAAGGTCATATTACCATTGAAGAGTATGGTAGGATATCCTTTCACCTGGTTCAATCCCATCAATAACTTCCACCAGGGCTGAAGTCAAGCTGCCATAGATTTTATCAGTTTTTGAGTCACACCGCTCATACGCTTTCTCATTTGTGCTACAAGCTGCGATGTGAATGAACTTGTCTTCCTGCATTGGTGACCATCCCTGTGACTGTAACTTTGGTGTCCAGAATTCCTGAATCGGGTAATGAAGCGGTATGGTTGGGTATAGTAGATTTGGTGGCTGTGTGTCTTGTACTGGTGCATGTTCCACTGGCTAGTTACAATTTAAATGACAATCTGTGTTAATTTAAAACTTTTGAATTATCGTTAGTATCGTAAATAATATTATAGAGATCTCATATCATACTGCATGTACATATTATGAACTGCAAGCATGGTGGCTTAATATTGGTTGTTGCCCAGGACTCCTGATTGAGTGGTCTGGATTTGAGCCCTGGTCAGAGTCAATATCTTATGTTCTTGGGCAGGACACTTAACTCTCACAGTGCCTCTCTCGACTCAGGTGTATAAATGCCAGGGGTAACCCTGCAATGGAACAGAAGCCCATCCAGGAGGAGGGGGAAAAATACTGCTAGTTGCTACAGAAATCGGGATAAGCCTTGGCTGTATAACTCACTAACCCGATGCAGACTTTAAAGCTACTGAAGTCATCACAGCAACAGGAATGTCACTAAACAAAAGGTTAAATGAGCAGAACAATGGCTGTGCACATGCATTATATTTCTTGGTACATTTCTTTGCCGTCCTCTGCAAAATAACCTGAAATGACCAAATTCTGCATTGTCCAGAGAAAGTGAACCACAACGGCTAGTTTTTTTTGCTTTTCATTTCAAATGTTTTGCCCTGACCAGATTAAGTTTCATGATAATTTTTGACACTAAGTAACAAAGGAAAATGACTGTAGAGTATCTCAAGAATCACAGGTAAAATAAAAAAATCATTTTTAAGTCAACGTTGTCCTTGTCGTTGCATCCTGGTTTCTTAAACTCGCTACTTCTAATAACTTCAAAACAGTTGACCTGCACCTCTTTAAAATCTCTATTTTGATTTGACATTCTCATTATCCTGCTACTCTTTTGTTCAGTCTTAGGGCTTGGGACATTGTTTGTGTTATATTGCTTCATTTCGCCGATTATAAAGAGCCTTAACTTGTAAACGATGCCGGCTGCCCCCAGCAAAAGCACTCATGATCAGTACAACATACTGGCAGCATATTTAAATAAAGTATATGGGGTTAAGAAATTATTAATTAATATCTATGAATGTTGATTCCTGTAGTTCTTTCCTTTTGCTTTGCCTGTGTTGACAATTGCTCCCAACATGTGTCCCTTTCATACTAAAGTCAACTCTCACCTTGCCGACACCCCGCAATTACAGATGCTCGCTACGGACAAAATCCAGATCCCCAGCGAAAGCTATGGAGGTTTGAGTGGAAATGGCTCACGCTATTACGGATGCTTGCTATTACTGAATTATGGACATTTTTGTGGTACCAAAAAAAATTAACAACAATTTTATTGTTTTGCCTTGCAATAAAGCTTTTCAGATGTACTTCTCATATAACATAATTATGTAAAATTACAGTCTGCCGTTGATCATTATTTTGTCAAAATACACTTCAAAAGATTTCTGGAATGTTCATTTTTACATCAATTCTTTTTTGTCTGCACAATAGTCCTTGCTTCACAGACATTGTCTATGTCATTTATTGCATGTTAAGGGCACTTTTTATCTCACACCCTGCGATTAGTCAGACACTAAACCACGTCCCCGAGCATGTCCACTATAACGAGAGTTGAATTGACTGTACATGAATTTGACAAGGATCTATAGTGTACATTCAGGAAGGTAATTATTCCACTGATCATATAGGCTAAATGGGACAGTGACTGGTGTTTGCCACTTGGGTATTGCCATAAACACCTCCATTCTGTACCAAAATTTTGCTCAGCTGCACCAGATGAAAAAGCGACATGTACCTTCAAGGCACAATTACCACAAAATGAATACTTTAAGAAAGTGAAAACCATGTTTCTGTCGTGTTGTAGAAACACGAGTGAGAGTTTGGGAGACCAAGAACTGCTGTGGGAACACGAGCCATTACGCGAGTGTTTCAACAGCTTTTTCAAGTTCTCCCAAACTTTCACGAGTGTTTCTATTAAACAATTAGATTATGAGCTCGAGATTTCTATCGTTTGATAGGTGACGAGGGCACACCCCGAGTCAACTATCACGCATAGAAAGTGAGTTCAAAGTTTTGAACGACTACTAGATTTTTACTAAAACAATTAGATTATCCGCTCCAAATTTCTGCGCCCTTGACAACTATCATGCAATAGAAATCTCGAGCTCATAATCTAATTGCTTAATAGAAACATAATTTTAAACCAATCAGCGTTTGTATTTTCTTCAGGCTATTTTCTAAACTGCTGATGAGAGTTTGAATCTGAAGTTTATTAAATGAAAAAAATTTACCTCATCCTGTTCCACTGGAGTTTTGAGAGGTTCTTTAAACTTCAAAATCTTGCGATGCTCATTGACATATTCATCAGATAATGCAAGCTGCACATAGGATGCAAACCAGATACACATTTTTATTAAACAGTACAACTGTTGCAATACATTCAAATATACAGGCAGGGTTGTCAATAAGGGCTGCAACTCATAGCACCTGCTACAGCTGAGCATGCTTGATGGCCCCTTGCTGTTAAGGGTGAACTTGGCTGTAACTGATAAAATTCACCAATAAAGTAACAAATGTGTTACAGGTGTGAAGACCAAGGCTACAGTCAGGTGCATCAAAACTTAATGACAGCACCGGGCAAATTGACTGGCTGTGAAGAGAACTTTGCCACTTTGCTGGCAAAAGTGTGTGTTATCTCTGTTGTAGCCTGCGTAGCGGCTGTTTCCTTTCCTTTTCCAAAAAAAGCATGCGAAGGAGATGAAAACTGCGAGCGATTGCGAAAAAGGAGCAGGGGGAGGTGGTGAGGCAACGGAAGGAAACACCTGCAATCAGACCCAGACATTTTACCAAACGCCCCCAAACACACCACGCTCCTGCTGCGCTCCCTTGGGGTGCCAACTGTCACATGAGAACCAATGATTATTAACTTCCAGTAAATCACTTTTGACAGGCACCCAGTATGGGCTTGATAGAGCACACTAAAAGTAAATAGTGCGCGAATATATGCGTTTTCCTTTCCAAGGCAAAAAAAGCAAGCGGACGAAATGATATGGCTTCAGGTAATTGCTGTGTTTCTCATTGCCAGTTTAAAACGAAGTTTGGAAATTTTACAAAGAATCAGCCAGGATATATGTCCACAGAAAACTTGTTCAAGTCTTCCAACAGAAAAGATTGAAGAAGTGCTGTGCTAGACAACATCTTGGAAAGTGTTGGAATTCCTCTGGATTGAAGCGAGACCTACTCACATCATGTTTGCAATCCTTGTGGAAGGAAAATCTGCAATTTGGGCAACCTACATATACTTTGATACACAAAGAAACCAAGAAAACTGAAGAAAATCCATCAAGGGAAGCCGAAAAGGCACCAGTAAAGAGCAAACAAGCAGGTAAAAGATTACTTTGTGAGTGTATCCCAGATCAAAACAAAAAATCTCTGAGCGTGAAGTCTCAACGTGTTAAGTCCCCCGAGAAAATTATTTTGTCCTTCTGAACTAACAATTAAAAAAAACTAATCTGTTCCCTAGTTTTAAAAGAATGGAAAACGGCTTCCCAAGCTAGTTTTAAAACACGCAGAATTAAAAGAGTAATTGAGATTCTCCTTAGCCAAAGCCATTTCAGAAGAGTTTAAAAACTATTTTAAAACAGGAACTAGGAACTAGATTAGGACTGTATAAATCACCTGTGCAATATCAAGTCACTGACCTGATATGGCTACGGTGTGACTCATGCTCACTTGACCAAATTTGGGTACAGTAAACACCATCATTCCTTTTTTGGCACGCTCTGGTGGCGTATCAGTCTTGTTTGGTCTTGCCATGGATATTTTGGCTCAACTACGTCTCGGCAAAATGTGAACCATGGCAGGACCAAACTTGCCAAAGCATACTAAAACAGTACGATTAGGTGTAAATACCATAGAAAATACAGTGGCCAACAGAGTCAATGTGACATACATGCAGTGCATGAAGGGAAGACAGTCGAGCACAAAATGACCTTCCTGTATTCTAATTGGCTGTATTTACTATGCCATGGTATAAATGCAAATATACATGTGCACAGTCACAATATTATTAGCGGTTTCATTGATGTCTTCAGCAGGAAGGCAACTGGTTTTCACAGACAGGCAAAACGTTTTGAACTGAACTTCTTTATGAGAAAAACTGTCCACTAGATGCATGGTTTAACCAGGTGTGCCAGTGCCCATTTGCCCAGTGCCCTGCCCTTAATGAAATCCTGGCTATAATTATTGCAGCCTAACAAAGCTTACGTCATGTACCTGTCGTATGGCTCTTGGAGTACTTCCTGTATCAGTTTCTGAGAAGCCACGATACATGCGGCCAGAAAAACAGCAGTCAAAGATTGTGTTGACAAGTGCACCTTTCTTGTGTAACTCCAATAGGTGAGGCTTGAAGTGTTCACCAGTAATACATGTATCATATATGTGGTACTCATCAACCTACAGAAAAAAAGAATATTTAAATTATTCAAGACAGCATTAAATGTTCCGTACCCCATTCACACTGACATGTTTAAACAAGGTTAAAAATTAGTTGCTCATACTATGAATATCTCACAACTTAATAAGGTAAAAACCTCTTTGATTGAAATATGTTAGCAAGGTGGTTTGAAATGAATACAAAGAAATGAAATGAATGCAAAGCGTAATCAAAAAATTGGAAAAATTAAACTTGATTTAGTTAAACTAGTTTAGTTGGTGTGAATGGGGTCTAAGAGTGAATTATAAATCATCATAGGGTTACGTGATCAGGGGGAACACTTACTAATATGTCACATTTTGATAATAAAATTTAAATTACAATGTCAATATGAAGGTGCACTAAAAAAGTGGCTTCTAAGAGAGATTAAGGGAGGGTTCAGATATTTCACTGAAAAATTACACACAAAGAACTGTTATATAAAATTGTCATGTTTGTCTTAAGACAAACAGGAAAAAGAACAATTGACTTGAAAGTCTTCATTTGTTTTGCAAAATAACAGATGTTCATGCCCAAATCTTTTAACAGTACAAAGTCCTTTACTTGTGTATTATTTTTCCTTAGAGTGCACACACAATGCATTGTGTGGCATGACTTTTGAACATGAGTTTTGGGTGCAGTAAGCAGGATGCTGGGGCATATTTTGAATTAGGGGACTTACAAGCAAGCACCAGAGGCACTAACTTGTAGGGGGTCTGACGATATTTGTAAAATTACTATTTTATGCAATTTTTGCTCGAAATCTGCCGTTCTTGGTAAGGATGCTACCACACCTCCACAATTGTCCAAAATTACCAAACATTAGTTTACTTACCATCTCTCTGGTTAAAGTAGTAGGTATCAAGCCTTGGTCAAATTGATCAGGGAGCTCATAGCCATGGCCACTGAAGTGTATCACTACCACTGATCCACTCTCTGCCTTGCGTGACACTTCCTCTAGGGAGCTCAAGATATTCTCGCGTGTTGCATCCTGGCCCTCAAGGACCTACATGCCAAAAGAAGAATATTAAGAAGTTAATAATTTCTATTTATTAAATGGCTGTGTCTCACAATGACTGGGAACTACTGAATTTCATAAATTTGATTGGCTGAAATCGATAATGACTGTGGTCTAGATTTTCCCATCTAGACCAACATCTAGACCAGTTATATTTTGCGGCGAAGAAGTTGCAAACTGCAATACAAGAGCATTGACTATCTTCTTCCAAAAATATTAGTTCAAGAGAATATTCAATCATACTACTCCCCACAGAAAGGAAATCCCAATAAAGCTTGATGAAAAAAAAAGGAAAGAGGACAAGCAAACTTTGGCAGACTTAAGTTCAGCTCACCCCCGTTCACAAGCAAAATGCCAGTTAGTACAAACCAGTTACATTAAACAAATTAGTTTTTTTCTTGTTTTCCATTCAATAAACATCTCATTAACCAAGCTTAGTTGGTCTGCATGGGAGAATCTTGACCTCAGTCACGTGCACAGACCTCGCTGCATTCAGTCTGTACTCACCTACTCAGTCAAGATTCTCCCATACAGACCTACTGCTCAGTTAATAAGAGCAAGGGTCATTTCTTATGATCAAATTTTAGACAATAGGAAAGACCTTGTTGAAAATAATCAAGCCTTACAATAAAAGTAGTTTGTGTATCACAGTGGTGTACATGAATGACAAGAAGTCAATTTAAAGTGAAACTGTAGATACTGACTTGACACTTGTACATGACACATGTGGGGATTGTCCTCTCATGTGTTGAAAATAAAGATTTCTTCACAACAAACCTTAATGTTTTCCAACAGGAATCCATTTCTACACAGCATGCCTGTCATTAATTCAAGGTCATTTTGAACACCTTCTAATGGGCCGCAGTAATCTGGCAGATCACTAGCATAACTTGGACCAATCAAAAGTGCAAGGTTTGCCGCCATATCTTCTGGACCTTCTGGTAAACATATAACATGAAATTAAAATTATACAAGTTAATTATACAAGATATATATCCTTGCATGCTTGTCACGAGAAAATGTAATTTCTAATGGTTGAGTGACAATGGATTAATTGGAAAATGGCATGCTTATGGATTATAATATTTACCTTGTAAGGATAATATCAGTGACTAACGTATCCAAAATAAACTTTTCACAAGTAAATGTTTCAGTTTAGAGCAATCAGACTGGATTCTGATGGCAAATCAATAAATTTACATGTAGTGTCGCAAAATGAAGACCCCACAGTAAAATCCTGACATATGTTAAGTGACCCCAGGGTAGTGCTTTAGAAGCACTCTGGTGCCACAGGCGACTAACTTTTGCCTTTGGGAAAAACTTACATTTTTCATAAAAGTTTATTTACATGTAAGTGCTGGGCACCCAGGATTTCATGGTTAGGAACCTTTAGGACCCTTGTAATTTTTCCTCAACCACAGTCTTCAGGAACCTCAAAAAAAATAGCAAACAAGCCTAAAATACTTTTATTCTGAAATACCTGAAGTTAGAAAAAAAATTATTGCTCAGAAAATATTTCAGCCCTTACCACTCCCATGATCATGGGGCTTGTGTAACACCAAGCTCAAATTGAGGACACATGTCAACTGTACATATGTCATAGTTGATTTTTGATGGACCAGATTTAAGAGGGTGGTACCGGGGTATTCTCATGATTCCTGATCAGCTGATTTTATTTTCCCTGAAACTTGAATTTAGGAAATTATTGTTTGTGATCCGTGAAGGTTTTGCATAACCCGTGAAAAACTTGAATTATTCACCGATATTCATGATTTCACCACTCTATTTTACGTGATTCTGAGACGGGGGTCCTCCAAATGGTTAGAGTCATCTATCGAGAGTGACTTAGTGATGCGATTTGCAATATGGAGCTTTCACGATTTTTCTTTCTTCAAACACTCTTTCTAGTGTAAGAACAGGTTATTAAAAATAGTATCTTACATGTACTTGCTTATTTTCATGATTCAGGAAAATGAAATTTTTATATCCATGATTTGTGATCCTCATTTTTTTCCTTTCATGAAAAGTGCCATAGACCTTCCTTGTACGACCCTCATTTACTGTAATTTACAGATGGAAGAGTAAAGTCTGCAGTTTGCAGTTCACAGTCCACAATCTGCATTATACACAGACCGACTACTGAATAGATTACATTGAATGGCCACACAATAACTGACTAGGGTTTTATCGACAGACTTGGAAGGTAGAACCACCTTGCACACCACAGTAAACAGTACCACATGAAAGTACTGCTCAATAGCTTACATTTGAATGATCACACACTAGGGTTTCATCCACAGACTTAAAAGTTAGAACCACCTTGTACAGTATAATAAACAGTACCACATGAAAGTGCTGTTCATTAGTTTTCATTTGAACGGGTCACACACTAGGGTTTCATCTACAGACCAAAAAGTTAGAACCACCTTGTACAGTAAAATAAACAGCACCACATGAAAGTACTGCTCAATATATAGCTTTCATTTGAATGGTCCACAGGTTTGATCCACAGTATTGAAAGTTAACACAACACATGACAAGGTTACAATTACACACTGACAGATGCTTAACGAAACTTACCTAAAATGCAGTGTACACTGCAGAGAAAGCCACACCAATTCGAAGCATGCAGACCTTGTAAATTTATTTTTCACTCGTGTTCATTCGAAAACGAAACTTGCAGAGGAGGGGAAATCCCCGGTCAGTAGTCACGTGAATAAACATCACTCCATCTTTGAAGAAAACGTTTTCTTCAACTCTACAAAATCTCAGTTCTTGTTGCCAATATTGTGCGCGTGCCCTAGAACGTGAAAAGTTGCTGAAAAGTTGTATTTTCCGCACAATCGCGCCATCTTGTTCCTCGCCGTCTTGAATATCATTGACTCGTTCCCAGTTCTTTTCTAGGAGTTTTTGCAACAGCCTGATGCCACGACAAGCTGAATCACCCGGATGAGGAAGCGCTCTTTATTCCTTTGTGCAAATAACGTCTTCGAAGGAGATCGTGAGAAGCAGCCTTCCGACCACAAGACTGTATCATTAAAATCAACTAAGAAAACAAAAGCGGGTATACCAGCTGCTAAATTGCATTTACGCAACAGATGAAGATCGTCCACTAATACTTTTAAAACAGTGCGCTCGGAAAGGAAAAGACCGTAGGAGTTGGGTCAATTTTACAAAACACCGCGAAATATCAGGGCCGTAGCCAGAAAAACAATTGTGAATGAGGCAATGCCCATGGTTAAGGTTAAATTCTCTCATAAGTATTTTATTAGCAGTTCTTTTCCCTTTCTCCCTTCAGAAAACATTCGCTACAGAAACGAAAAAACTACAGAAACGAAAAAACTACGAAAACGAAAAAATAACTGAGGTAACTGCCTCGGTTTGCCTCATATATACTGGCTACGGCGGCTATAACGCTAGTGAAATTTGCTGAAATTGTCGTAGAAAGTAAAATAAAATTTTAACAACTTGATTTATAATCTCCAATGCCGAGGCACTTCAGTCGAAGACGTAAACAAGTACTTTTTGCGACAAACGGGGCATTTATATGTCTTCTCTCAGTGGCGGATCTAGGGGAGGGGCCCGGGGGACTCGGAGTCTCCCCTTATTTTGCGTAAAAAAAAAAAATTGCAGAGGGAAGAAAAGCCGGTAGGGCAGGCAAAAAAAAGCGCCCACCCCCACTCCACACCCCTTAGTGCCGGGGGGTAACCCTGCGATGGACTAGCATCCCAATTGACGCTTATTTGAGGAAAATGGAAAATTTGAAACTTTAACATCCTTGTTGGTAAATGAACTTGTAAGATTATTCCTCCCTGTGAATTCATGACATTAGCTTTTTTATTAACATTGTTCAATAGAGAGCTAAGCTTCTACAGTCCACTTGCTCCCTTTTTACAGCATGTACAAAGTAAAGATGTCCGATAAAGAACCACATGACAGCACTGATTAATATCACCCATTTGACCATGAATAGTCAGACACTAAAAGGTTTCAGACTTTCCCGATAAATGTAAACGCAAGAACTACCTTAAAAATAGCAGGTGCGCCTGTTAGAATACGTTAATCGGATTTTGCCCTCCTCACTCTGCGTTCATGTCGAGCCATACCAACCTACCTGTATCTCTCCATACCAAAGGCACATGAAGCTTTGACATTCTCCTTCCATCCACTCCGGATTTTTTACTTGCTAGAGCTCTGATAGTCGCCTATGACTGCCACACAACTCGCACCTTTCCTCCTCAATCATGCATTTTCTCCTCAATGTTGTTTAGGGTCGACCTGGTCTTCTCTTCCCCTCTGGCCTACACTCCAATGCTGTAACACGGTGCTCTTCTCTGTCCTTCCTCTTTATAAGTCCAATCCAGTTTCATCTTCGACGTCTGATCTCATCACTTGCTCTGTTCACTCCAGTGATCTCGCGAATGTGTGTTGGTTGGAGATGGTTCGAGCCACCTTATTCTAAAACGGGCTCCATGTATTTGTTTTGGAAAGCGTCCAGTTTAATCGCTTCTGTATTTGTTAACTTCTAGGCCCCACAGCCATACATAAAAACTGATCTCAGTAACAACTGTTATGAACATGCCAATTAACACTTAAGTAAATCTTTAATCATATACCATGCCATAGAAAATACAGCCGATCAGAATGCAGGAAAGCCGTGGTATATTCGACGGTATTACATCCAACTGCCCATCATGCGCCGCGCGTTTGTTGCATTGACAATATTTTGACCACTCTATTTTCTTTGGCATGGTATAAAATAGTTATGCAACGCACTCTCATGGTATACCATGCAATATCCCACCTGTGACTTGTATCTTCTTGATATACACACGAACCTTTAAAAAATACAAGTGGTTAGTGGTATATTCCATGGTATACCACTCGAAAACGTTGCATAACTAGTACTTATCACGCCACTGCATGATGCTGTTTTCACTTCTCAATTGCAGAACTTTTAGATCAGCTATGTCCAAATTCCCGCGATCGAAGATACGTGCGAATCAAGACCTTCAACAACAAGTATCTTTGGGCCCATCCAACACGCAGGGGTTCTGATAGCTATCTACGAACGCGTTGCTGTGGAGGGAAAGATTCTACGGGCAGAAAAGACGTCAATGTGCCCGGGAGACGCACCACATTTCTTATCCATTGCCATCGATCTAACAATCCGGACTTTTGAAAGAATCCTGAGGGGGTACCAAGAGACACGGCTTGAAATGCATCTCACCCCTAAAAGGTCTTTTCTCCTGCCTAAGTTTTTTGGCTCAATACCATAAAAGGTACCTGAAAAGTTCCCGCTGTGGATCTTTTAAGGCTTAACACCCTAAGAAGTACTAAAACCGCTTTTTTAACCCCTAAAAGATACGACGGGTACCCCTGTCCATTTTATAAGGATGGGATTCCTGTGACAGGGATTAGCCCAAGCAGCTTTACACGTGGTTTCAACCTCCATGAAAACATCCACGCGCGCAGCGTGCATGGCAACATCATCCCCAAAAGTACCGAGTACTATAGTTAACAATGCGATTATAATCTAATTGTTTTAGTAGAATTCTAACTGAAATTAACGCAAATACGGTTTCCAATTATTTTTGTTCGCATTATTGAACTTCAGGCCTTAACAAAATCGCACGTATTGAATTGTCCTTGGTAATTTTGCAGTTGTTTACGCGCGCACCCGATTTTTCAATAATTTCAAGTTTTTAAAGTCAAGAAACCGTCAATTTCCTTTTTTCAGTCGTCTCAGGAATTTAATTATCTATTTACATCTAAACTTTCTTCCAAAACTTCGGAAAAACGTTAAAAAGTCGCATTTGGTGGAGGATCGACAGCTACTGCACTCTAATGGCTGATAGTATACGAGTAGTTTAGCCAATCAGATTGCAGCATTTGCATTAGTATACTAGTAGAATTCTACTAAATAAAATTATAATACATCAAACATTTTCGCTCGGGTCACGTGCCTAAATATGTCCCAGCTCAGTAAAGCTTTACAATATCTGAGTGACATTGCCCAATTCTCAAAATTGCGTGTGTTGCGAAAAATATCTCAAAGATAACAAACACAATAGCCTCCAATTGGCGCGAAAACATGCTCGGATATTTGTCTATGGACATAATCTGTTCCTCAAAGCTCTAGGAAAGCTCTTCGCTTCTTGGAAAAGATAACGTCCGCGGACAAATATCCCAGCATGTTCTCACGCCAAATGGAGGCTTTATTTTATATATCGTGAGAAGGACTATCTTGGAAATAAACTAAGTGATAAAAACTACATTTTCTATGCATAAGAGGCGACGCACACTGTCTTAACTTGAGCTTAAACTGGAGGGTTTGGAAATGGGCCATTTTCGTATTCTCGGTATTGGACTGGAACTAGTTTGTAATGGAGGCTAGGGAATATCATTTCCATTTGAGCCTCGGTTGCAAGCTAATTCCAGTCTAACACCGAGAATACAAAAACAGTCTGTCTGAGTTGTTTTGAGACGTTAAAAGGCAGTTTTGGTGGAACAACAGTGGAGGCTACACGCCCAGTAGTTTGACGGCTTTGAAGGTGTAATGAATTCAAACTTTAATAACAATCTGAAACTCTAGCTCCTAATACATGACCGCGCCAGCAAACAGTTCGCCATATTTCCCTCGTGCTCCGTCCTATCCAGCATGCATCTCTCCTTCGGTGAAGGTGCCTCGATATCATGTTTTAACAACTTCCGTTCTAGATATTACAGTAGGGAATTAGACTGATCAGGTTATGGCTGTTCTTTTTTTGTTAAGACACGAAGTGCTACTGGCGCAGAACATTCAGAGGGTTACCGATGGACAGATTGTGTCTGGTGTCCCACAAGATCAATCATGACACCAGCAGCAAAATGTGAAGCCGTTAACTGCTGTTTCGATTATAAACTAAACCAGTGCTACAAACCACAGAAATTATAATTTATGTCTGTTAATCAACAAATAGATTCCATGTTGCCGTCTGTGTAGTATTAATAAAAATCTCCTATTGTTCAATCACAAATGCCGTTCTCTGATTGGCTACGCTACTCAGTATCTATCTGTGGTAGATAGTGAGTAGCCTAGCAGTGTATGCTTGTTAACAAAATAACGGCTGCTTCTTTGCACTTTTGAAGTGTCTGTGAAGAGGATTTAGAAAAAGTTATGAATGACTAGTAGATTATTACTAAGAAAAACTCGCGATAGAAATCCAGAGCTCATAATCTAATTGTTAAGTCGATCACAGTTGAAGTGAAAATGTGGCAAGAACAAACACAAAGCGCCCAAGCAGTTAGAGGAGTGTGTCACTGATGTTCCTACCATCATTTTGACGTCTTCAACATGGAATCTATTTGTTGTTCCTAATTCATTTACTATTCACGAGACAACTGATTGGAATCTTATGAATAAATCAGCTCAAATTCATGTTTGTTGCTCCATGCTACGTACTTTATTTCGCAGACGTTCTTCGCTTGTCACGCACTCCTCCCGTAAGGGAGAGTCACGCAGTCCTTTCGTAAGGGAGGAGTGCGCGACAAGCCATATTCTAGTTTTAGTGCTTATTAATCGAATTGTAAGTAGCTAAAGATTCAACTTTTCACAAAGTATGAAATAATTATGGGAGTGAATTTCAAGCTCTGAGCTCCCTCCCATAAGTCCTTTTTAAACTTGGCAAAAGGTTGTATTTTAAGGTGTTAACTAAGATTCCAAAATAAAACGTGGGGCCATCGGACCCGTTTTTCAGTTATAGGTGTTTTCAACGGGACATACTGTTGCTGCAGCCAACTATTCTGTCACCAAAATGACCGTAACGTGTTCACCAATGACTGGCCGTTTGTTTGATATCATTATCAGTATTGTATCAACTGAAAAAGTGTCAGCATTGACTCATCAAAGAACAAGTTCTGAAAACATGCTGGGGATGTCGCGGATGCTCGTCAGAATGTTCTACTTTAGCCATGGGAAAAAAAGGTATGAATTCCGGTATCTATTAGAGGTACTTTTCAGCCCGCACTCTCACACAATTACCTCAACCCAAACCACGCCATAATCAACTCTACCCCCGGCCTCCCCCACCCGCCCCCAGACAGACACTCCCTAATATTGTCAACTCTTTGACTCCCGTTCCTTTGCCCCCCAATGCACTGCTGATATCAGAAGAGGTATAAACATCATGCCTCCACACTTAAACTGTAACAAAGAGCAGTTCGTTCTATGTTATGGAAGGTAGACAATTAGCTCTCAAGTAATTTGGTGTGCTGGAAATTAACCCACGCATTTCCTTCTGGGCGTTAGCTCTAGAAGTGAAAATTTATACGGGACCATACGAGGTAAAGAAAATTCTTTGACCTTGGTGGTATTTGAAGCCATGATCTCCAGATTAGATAACTGTTGCTCTATCGAGATACTAGGCCAGGCGATTGTACCTTAGATCTCAATCTTACAAGGGTTTGTTTGATACAAAACAATTGGCAGTTAGTCCTGTGGATTGGGTATACTCGCCCCTGGGTATATTAAATGAATCTGTTCTGGCCCGGGTTGTTCGAAAGGTGAATAACGCTATCCAATGGATGAATCACTATCCACCAGATAAATCACTATCCAGCGGATAGCATGGTTTGTTTTGTTAACACTTATCCACCAGATAGCGATTTATTCAGTGGATAGCGTTATCCGTCTTATGAACAACTGGGTACTGTACTGCAGGGATAATCTTGTGTGCTCTTGACAAATGACCATCACTGATATAACAGTAAAGAATATTTGCACTTGCACAAGTCCAAGACCCCAATTTAGTGAGACAGCCATGAAAAATACAAATCATTTATTGAGATCATGCATCTCGTTCTACTACATACAATTTTGTTACTCCACTTTCTTAGTGGGATATAACCTTTGAGTATGCCGAGTGCATCTTTATTACTTAGTAGTAACTGTCCAGCTGTAAATGTTCATGTTTTTTTGTTCTGATACAAAACAAGGTTTTAGAGGATTAGTGTAATCCTCTCAACTCTAATATATATTTGTTATTAGTAATTATTGGCAATAAATGTTCTTCAGTTCCCCTGATTAAGGATACAGTAATCCTTAATGTAAATGTTCAAAGTTCAAAGGAGTTTGATTAAGAACTCTACAAAAATAGGAAATGAGAATTTCCCTTTCTTCTCAAAAGAAAAGCTGCAAAAAAATTGCAATTCCTTAGGTTACAAGTTGGCAAATTTATATTGCTTTGACATGCTTGACATCAAAGCACTTAGTACAAAGCTTCACGTATGTGTATTTACAAATACCCTGTACTTCAAGTCGCACAACAAACAGTTCTTTTCAAACAGTATTCTACAGGTTTAAAACAAATATCACACCAAAAAGCATCAAGTTTAACATACAACATAATACAGTAAAAACCCACATATAAGAACCTACAATAGGTTTTTTCAAGTTGGATGTCAGGCCACCTAGGTTCTTAATTTTCGTTTTTTTTTTTTTTTTTTTTTTTTATAAAACAACTTGTTCTCATGGGTATGGCCTTTATAGTGAATAATTCACACATTTTTCTTGACAGGCAGAAGCCACAGTAAAAGAAAATAATCTCACCCTGATGCCTGTATTATATTTGAAAAAACTCTATAATTTGAAAATAACGACCTGCATTGAAATTTTAGCCGAAAATGGTTCCTATGTGAAGGGCGCTTAACTGAGAAATTTTAGCCTTACAGGTTCATAAATTTTCGGCTCTTATAAGTGGGTTTTCACTGTATGCTGAAAAAAGCCAGAAGTTCTTTCACATGGCTACATCCTTTGCGTCTAACAACCACATTGCTGCATCTGTGTTTGATTATGTGCTGTAGAAAACCAGCCCCAAAGTAAGAGTTCATGGTTCGGCACATGTGCAAGCCATACAATTTGCGGTAGAGGCTATATTTCCTATTACAATTTGTTTGTATGTTCCGACTCCCAAGCATCACAAAAATTAATTCCATCATTTATCAAACAATCGGCTGTGAGTATATAACTCATGCGTGTGTGCCAAATAAAGCCTTCGTGCCAAATAATAGTAATGCACATATTTTCTTTGTCTCTTTTTGTTTAGTTATTATTTTGTTATTAACTAATTATCCTGTTCATAACTGATTCGCCTATGTTAGCCTATTGCTACCCGCGCATTAGTCTTAATTGTATTCATTTATTTTTCTTAACTGGAAATGAATTAAGTGTACGTGCATAATAAGACATTCAGCACTGAATTCGAAATTTTTCTTTAAATCCACCAAAATCTTCCTTGGAATATGGGCCTCAGTCGTTCTGCTTGTACAAATAGTAGTCCAAGAATGCTGCGATGTATGTGGTTCAGTGAGACACTTTAGGTCACACCATAGATATAGCTTCCACATGTGCCAAACTATGAATCTCGGTTCTCGAGTCCTTGTTTCTTACTGCACAAGCTTGACAAAATAAGATACTCTCTAGGGTTCCATTATGGGTTGGATTTTGATTGGCTTTTAATACAAAGTGAGAGCAGAGTAAAACACCACCTACTCGATTGAGCCACCTGTTTAGGCATGTACAATTTAACCAGAAGACAGATCTTTACAAAATTCCATTCAGAAATTTCCAGGGTAGCTCGCTTTCCATGCAGCCCATGAAAGTACAATGAGAATTTGAATTTGTTCTTATGCTTTAGTTTAGTTTAACACTGTCTTCTCCATAGAAGCTTACTGAAATACTAAGTGAAGTTAATGACTCAATTTCTTCCAAAGATTTACACCAGAGGTAGTAACGATCTCTAGTTATACCAACGTGGTCATCAATTGCAAGTCTGAGGGTTGTCAATGAACAACGTTTTGCAAAACTGTCAGATAGATTGTATCCCCAGCTGCATTTGCTGTCAGCGAAGTTGTGGACTGTAAGACTGAATGTAGTCAATGACTTGTTATTCGACAAACCTTCACCCAGAGCCTTTCCCCAGCTGCCTGTTGTGTCAGCGTAGTTGTGGACTGTAAGACTGAATGTAGTTAATGACTTGTTACTCGACAAACCTTCACTCAGACCGTTTCCCCAGCTGCCTTCTGGGTCAGCATAGTTGTGGACTGTAAGACTGAATGTAGTCAATGACTTGTTATTCGACAAACCTTGACCAAGACCGTATCCCCAGCCTACAGATGTGACGGCGTAGTCGTGGACTGTAAGACTGAATGTAGTTAATGACTTGTTATTCGACAAACCTTCACTCAGACCGTTTTCCAAGCTGCCCTCTGTGTCAGCAAAGTTGGGGACTGCAAGACTGAATGTAGTCAATGACTTGTTATTCGACAAACCTTGACCAAGACCGTACCCCCAGCTGCCTTCTGTGTCAGCGTAGTCATGGACTGTAAGACTGAATGTAGTCAACGACTTGTTATTCGACAAACCTTGAAACAGAAAATATCCACACCTTATTCTTGTGTCAGCGTAGTTGTTGACTGTAAGACTGAATGTAGTCAATGACTTGTTATTCGACAAACCTTGATCCAGACAGTATCCCCAGCTGCCTAATGTGCCAGGGTGGTTGTGGACTGTAAGACTGAATGTAGTTAATGACTTGTTATTTAACAAACCGTGATCAAGACCGTATCCCCAGCCGCCAGATGTGCCAGCGTATTCGTGGACTGTAAGACTGAATGTAGTCAATGACTCGTTATTCGACAAACCTTCACCCAGAGCGTACCCCCAGCTGCCTACTGTGTCAGCGTAGTTGTGGACTGTAAGACTGAATGTAGTCAATGACTTGTTATTTGACAAACCTTCACCCAGACCGCATCCCCAGCCGCCAGATGTGCCAGCGTAGTCGTGGACTGTAAGACTGAATGTAGTTAATGACTTGCTATTCGACAAACCTTGACCCAGACCGTTTCCCCAGCTGGTTTCTGCGTGAGCGTAGTTGTGGACTGTAAGACTGAATGTAGTCAATAACTTGTTATTCGACAAACCTTGACCCAGACCGTTTCCCCAAATGCCTGATGTGTCAGCGTGATCGTTTACTTCAAGACTGAATTTAGTCAATGACTTATTTTGCGACAAACCTTCATCCAGACCGTACCCCCAGCTGCCTTTTAATTCTGTGCCAGCGTAGTTGTGGACTAAATGAAGGTGGCTGTCTACGGGAAAACTTAACTGAGTAAGTGACTTGCTTCCTAAAAAGATTTCCCTCACTTCATGCGGTGTTAAGTTACTGATGTCAATCGAAAGTGCAGATGAAGTTGTACAATTATTCTGAGCACTTAAACATTCCCAGTCTTCTGTCGCCAAACCATCCACGTTTAGAATGAAAGACTGCAGTTGACCTTCTCTGTGCAACCTTTGCAGGGCAGTTTGTCCACAACTCGTAATTTCACCACTCAGGTTAATGGTCAGTGAAAGGTGTACATTGCTAGTAACAAAAAAGTTTGTCAGACGATCAGCAACGTTATTGCTCACTTTACCATTGACATTCAATGTAAGCCTGGATAATGGCGAAGTTTGTAGCAAGCGACCGCCAAGGATGTCTACGTTATGGACACTCAACTCGCCCCACAAATTTAAGGTCAAGGTCTTTTCTAAGAGGCCAACTCTTGAGATCGGATCAAGAAGGGAAAATGAAGCATCTACAAATTTGCCTTTCGTGTTTGGATGGAGTGTAAGAGATTTCCAAGACTTGGTTGCTGTCAGTTCGTGAATCTTATCAACCACTCTTGTCCAATGTTCTGGCAAATCGCCAAGAACTTTTAACGCTAGAGAGTGCAAAGTTCTGTTTAGTAGAAAACCGTTTGCAAGCAAAGTGGCCCCATGATTGCTTACACTTCCATGGATGACGACAGTGAAAGACTTCAAAGTGGTTTCTTCTGAAAGTCCCTCACTTAAAGCAGAAGCCAAGCAGTCCTCCATATCGCCAAAAAGGGTCAATGTGAAAGAGATGAGCGATCTCTTGGATAACAACAGTTTAAAGGCGTGAACAGCTGTGCTATCTGGAACATCGTAATACTTCAGGTCGACTGACTCCAACTGTGTGCTTTTCAACAATCCAGTGCCGCTGACATCACCGGCCCAAGCAGTACTGTTACTAAATAGTTTCAACTTTACAGTTGTTAGTGAATTACATGATGACAATCCTGTTCCCAACCTGTCAGCCACATCTGCGGGAATGCTCCTAAATGTTTTGAGAGTCAACGAAGACAGGGACGAATTAGATGACAAACCTTTCAACAGAGAGCTTTCCAATAAACCTTTCCAATAAACCATGTCAGTAGAAATAACAAGATCTTTCAAAGTTTTACTGTCTTCTAGAATGCCATGCAAATCCTTTGCACTGTCCTCGTCGAGAGCATGCGCTTCAGGTAGGCTCAGTTTATGAAGCCACCATGGTTCTATATTACTGACATGTGAGGAGGCTTTGCATGCATATCGCACTAGTCTTGAAGTGTGCTGATCTTTGAGGCTCAATTCTAAACTCTGAGGTAAACTAATAGAACGGCAAACAACCATCGCCAAATCATTGGCAGCTTCACTCTCCTTCAGAAGTTCAAATATGAAAAGGCCATCTCCTTCAAGACAATGGCAATACCACTTCCCGCAGAGAATCTCTGCAATCTGGTTGAAAAACATGGCTCCATCCTTGCCCAGAATACCAGCAGCAAACAAAAAGACTTGTCGGTATTTACCAGTGATATCACTCTTGTGTAATTGAAAGTTGTCAAAAACGTTGATGTTTTCTGTCATCAAGTGTATTAGGTATGCAGCAGCTAAAAACTCTTGAAACGTCCTGTGAAGAAAGTGATACTCGTGTTTTGGATTGAGCTTCTTAACACTGGCTTCCATGAAAACAAGGCCCACTCTGGCAGCTGAAACACCTCTGCCATTGGTTCTCACTTTTTCTAGCTTGTCCAGTTCCTCTNTAGATGACAAACCTTTCAACAGAGTGCTTGCCAATAAACATGTCATGTCAGTAGAAATAACAAGATCTTTTAAAGTTTTACTGTTCTCTAGAATGCAATGCAAATCCTTTGCACTGTCCTCGTCGAGAGCATGCGCTTCAGTTAGGCTTAGTTTATGAAGCCACCATGGTTCTATATTACTGGCATGTGAGGAGGTTTTGCATGCATATCGCACTAGTCTTAAAATGAGCTGATCTTTGAAGCTCAATTGTAAACTCTGAGGTATACTAATAGAGCGACAAACAGCCATCGCCAAATCATTGGCAGCTCCACTCTCATTCAGAAGTTCAAATATGAAATGGCCATCTCCTTCAAGACAACGGCCAAACCACTTCCCGCAGAGAATCTCTCCAATCTGATTGAAAAACATGGCTCCATCCTTGCCCAGAATACCAGCAGCAAACAAAAATACTTGTCGGTATTTACCAGTGATATCACCCTTGTGTAATTGAAAGTTGTCAAAAACGTTGATGTTTTCTTTCATCAAGTGTATTAGGTATGCAGCAGCTAAAAACTCTTGAAACGTCTTGTGAAGAAAATGATACTCGTGTTTTGGATTGAGCTTCTTGACACTGGCTTCCATGAAAACAAGGCCCACTCTGGCAGCTGAAACACCTCTGCCATTGGTTCTCACTTTTTCTAGCTTGTCCAGTTCCTCTTGTAAGAAAGAAGGACGTTCTTTTAGGAGACATCTCCAAGCCAACTCTCCCAATATCAACGTGCTATCTTCAAATCGTTTCTCCAAAGCCATGTCGTCTTCTTTGTCAACTTCCATGTCATGTTTTGAGCAAAATCTCCTCAGCAGGCATTGATAAATGATATGATAAAGCTTGGTCCGGTTAGATGGCAGTTTCCCTTCATGGTCTTCAAAAACGATGCAGAGAAGAAGTAAATTCAGTGGATTGTCCCGCAGTGCATGCAGAGAAATGTTTTCTTGAATAGCTTTAATCAGGTGTTCTCCTTTCTCCAAATCTACCGGATCAACATTTTCGAAATGTTTTCTGATGTACTCAGAAGCATCTTCAGTGGTAAACCCATTAATCTGCAAAAGGGTGTCAAAGACGTGACGTTGTCGAAATTCAATTCCCTTCTCTTGACGCGAGGTGGCTAAAACAGAACAACGTGACAAAACTTTTCTTCTCAACAGCTTATCAACAAATTGCTCTGCTACTTGTNTCTTTGTCAACTGCCATGCCATGTTTTGAGCAAAACCTCCTCAGCAGACATCGATAAATGATCTGATAAAGCTTGGTGCGGTTAGATGGCAGTTCCCCTTTATGGTCTTCAAAAACGATGCAGAGGAGAAGTAAATTCAGTGGATTGTTCCGCAGTGCATGCAGAGAAGTGTTTTCTTGAATAGCTTTAATCAGGTGTTCTCCTTTCTCCAAATGTACTGGGTCGATATTTTTGAAATGTTTTCTGATGTACTCAGAAGCATCTTCAATGGTAAACCCATTAATCTGCAAAAGAGTATCAAAGACGTGACGTTGTCGAAATTCAATTCCCTTCTCTTGACGCGAGGTGGCTAAAACAGAACAACGTGACAAAACTTTTCTTCTCAACAGCTTATCAACAAATTGCTCTGCTACTTGTGGCAACTCATCAAGGCCATCCAAGATTATAAGAATCTCTTCCTGCTTCTTCTCATCCTTGATATAATCCAGTAGCTGTTTTTTCCTCTTTTCTGTTATGTCCTCCGGTAGCAATTGGTCGTCGATGGCTNTCCAAGATTATAAGAATCTCTTCCTGCTTCTTCTCATCCTTGATATAATCCAGTAGCTGTTTTTTCCTCTTTTCTGTTATGTCCTCCGGTAGCAATTGGTCGTCGATGGCTTGCATTGTATCTCCATCCATATCACGGCATTTCAGAAGTAACAACAGCTCGAACACAGGAAAATCATGCTTCTTGGGTATTGCTTTTCTTGCCCAATCATTTGCTATTTTTAAGCAGAAAGTTGTCTTGCCGATGCCAGGGCTTCCCTCTACAAGCACCATCCTGGCCTTTTCTTGACTTCTCTTCCCAGACTTGGAGTAGAGTCTTTGATACCCGCCCGATTTCTCCTGTTGCGTGTTAAGGTTAAAACTTTCATACATGTGAATCTCTTTATCCGTGAGTTGAAAAGTATTTGTTCTTCTCCATTTGACTTCCAACCTGGTGTAGACTTCATCAATAGGCAATTGGATGGTGTTCTCCCAAAGAAGTGGTTTCAAATTAGAACGTCTGATGTATTCATCTTCCAGAATTTTACGGAAAAAACGAGAATTAAATTTACCTGGAACGAAATGACAATTACTCTAAAGTCAGAAACATCGTATATGCTGTGCTGAAACTATCACATTAAATAAGATTTTGCTACAGTAAGTCAAAGCCTTAAAAGTAGCAGCACAATGAACAACTCTAACTACTGTGCAATTCCAAAAGTAACACTCCTCCCCAGAAAATAACAGTTCCCTGAAAGTGACGTTATTTTTTTAACTTCCTATTGAAACCCAAAAGTATTGGTCCCCCCAAAAATAACAGCCCACCCAAAATGGAGAGGCCCTTTGAAGAAGTCACTAAACAGAAACTCAAGAGCAATGCGGATGGAACAGCCTGACTGCAGTACTGAACAGCTTGAAAACTTTCTTGAAACTACGATTTTTTAGCTGTATTTGTCTACCCATGCAGTAGAGTCAAATGATATAGTGTTAACAGTTGTATTGTGATATAATGCGACCATAATATACTTTCGCCCTACAATGTTTAGGCCCAGGGCCCTTTTTGTTTATACAATATGTCTGCTTTGTTTACGTGGGAAGTTAGAAACATACATGAATGGAACTTTTAATTTCAAGTGTTACACGTCTGCTCTGTCTGAGAAGACTGTGAATTACCGTACAAACGTTTTTTAACCATCCGAAATTTATGGCTCCCCGAAAGCAGCAGCCCCTTTAGCCTGCTAAATCCGAAAGTAATTGGGGCTGTTATTTCGACCGGCCAGTGGAAATTGAATTACCTTTGCCATGCTCCTTAGGTTGAGAAACAGCACTGGGTAGCCACCTTTTACCCTGTTTTGGAGGATGTTCTCTGCTTTCTACAGAACCTAAAAGAAGAAAAATTTACTACACTCATGTACCTTACCAAAAAACAAAGAAGCAGCCTGCATGTACAAAGAGCTTTAAGTCATCAAGAGAAACACTTTTAACTACTACATTTTAATAACTAAACTAGAAAAGTAACTTAACCACCAAGGCTATTTTCAAGCACAAGCGGTTAGTCACAGCAGACTAGGGAAAGTCTTAGTGTGTGACTTTTTATGCAACATGAAGCTGTGCTTATATCCCTGCAGGCAACATGGGAACTGGTTATGCATAAATAAACCAATAAAAATAATTCGTTTGCTGGACCTTTGATCCTCTATAAGCTTACATTACATTCCAATGTTTTAAGATTTTCCTTTTGGCCTCATCTCAACTGAAGAGAAATATTGCAGACATGCCAATGCACTCAATCGTGTCTGTACGTAATAAGCATGCACATGTGTTGCCTCAAAACAATAGATGTATTTGTTGGCATCAACAGACAATGATTTAAGTAACCTTGAATTATTACAATACGTTCCTTTTGCACCTATCTATAACTATTAGAACTCCTGCTTTGAAGTAATAACAGCTAAAGCTGCCTGCACCCTACACCATCAAATACATGTATAGATGGAGATGGCTGGACAGTGATTCAGAAGAAGCCATGCAATTTGTTGTCATATACATATGCACATGAAGTATTAATACAGAGATTGTTTTCATTATGTAATACTTAATTTTAAATAATACATGCATCATTCAATGCAAACATCTATAATTTCCTTTCACATGTAAAAGGGGAACATTACGAGTTAGATGTCTGCACCAGTGCAGGCTATACAATTCTTGATAAAAGTTTGTAAGTTCTTTCTGTTCAAGGCACTTAACAATATGCCATTTATGAGTTGCCTTTTGCCTTTATGTCAAGACGAGACATTGTGCAAAACCATTCTTACGAAAATTCGTGCATTTTCATGCAAATCACACTCCTTTCCATATGAAACATTTTGCACAAGGACTTGTTTTAAAACAGAGGTAATAGTAACTTGGAAATGACCTATTGCAATTGCTTGTTAGAGAAAATTTGACAATTTATATCTCTGTGTATTACAAGCTGTACCTTCGTGAAGAACTTCTAGATGAGTCGGTTTTTCAAAACTTCGAGAAGGTACACCGGAAAGTACTGGATTACACTCCACTGTCGATGGATGCCAAGTACCTACAGATCGACCTTCAAGCAGAAACATATGTAAAAGATATTGTCTTCCTGATAATTATTTCTGCTGCAGTTGACTGTGCACTGTGGATGTGTATGTTTATAACTATAGATACTGTTCAGGAGAGCGTGACGTTGTGTTACATGTACCTTATTTAGGGATGAGTGACAGAGATCAAATGTCAAGTACTTTTAGGTAGTTCCACGCGGTTTTTGGATAGTGCAAGTCGAGTATTCACCATGGAGGTTTTTCCTAGTCAAAATAAAGTCAAACGTTGAGTTTGACCGCGGATTTATTGCGTCATTCTTAACATTTTTTGGCGACCACGACGGGTGAGTATGAGCGAGTGGAATTTATTGTGCTCAAGGTTTGTTATTCGCATCGCTTCGCATCATAGTTTGGATTTATTACTCCCGGGCTTTTCGCATCGTTTCGCTTCGCGTTTGCAGTGGAATTGGCAATCTTGGATTCACCGTTTGGAACTGTACGAAGGATTTATCTGGATTGAGTTAGCAGATAATATCGTGCTCAAGGTTTGTTGTTCGCATCGTATTTGGATTTTGCTATTTGCTGCCATCGCTTCGCATCGTATTTGTCGTGTTGGATTTTTTACTTGGCCATCTTGGATTTCGTCTTATGGAACTTCGCAAAGGAATTATAGTGGAATTACGACTTAAATCATCGAGGAGCTTTCAAACACTGTCTAAAACTCTGGGAGGTTTTTACTTCATGTGTTTTCGCTTCACTGTTTTGTTGTTGTGCATCGTTATTTTGGCGTGGAACTATCATTCATTGGACTCGTTCGCGAGGAATCAACAATCGAATCAACAAGGTCTTGAACATTGTCGAGCATTTGACAAGGGTTTTTTTCTTTACATCGCTCGATTATGCCGACGATAGGAGAGTCTGAAGAAGTTAATGAAGAGGAAAGAATTCTAGAACTTAAACGAGAGAAGAGAGGCAGAAAGACTGCAGTTACGAAAGTGCGCCACAATTTAGAAAGACTGAACGTGAGTGGCGAAGATTCCGAGTCGGTTGAAAATGAAATCGAAACATTGTGGAAGGTATTGGATGCATGCCTCACTGTCATGGAAGAACTGCAAGGAGTTTACTTACGCTGAGGAGACAATGAAAAGAAGAAGGCCGTCGCGAAAGTAGCAGAGGGTCTGGAGAAGGAAGTAAACAATGTTATTGAAAAAGCGGAACGGGTAATAAAGGACATCTTCGAGAAAAAACATGCAAATGCAACAAAAGAGACATTGCTACAGAGGCCCTCGCCTATGACACGTGCTCAATCAACGCATTCACCTGCCCACAGCCAGTCGTCAAGTTCAGATCACTCAGGTAACTGTAACCAGCGACTTAAACCTTTGAGGGTACCAGTGTTTAGTGGTGAGAAAAGTAAATTCGAGGATTTCTGGGAGATGTTTTTGAGTCTTGTCGACCAAGGGGTGGAGCCAACAAATATTAAAATGGCTAGATTGCGACAGAGCCTTACGGGGACTGCTCTTGAGGCCATCAGGGGCATAGGAGTTTCAGAGACAGAATACAAGGAAGCCAAGAAGGAAATTCTCCAGTCTAAATTTGGTGGTGAGCGAAGAAAGTTACAGGCATATATGGACCAGATCGAAAAGATGCCTCCCTTGAAGAGCAATGATGTACAGTCATTCAAGCGATTTGCTGATCTTGTGCACATAGCTGTTGTGAAGTTGCAAGCAGAAGGGCGTGGCGGAGAGTTGGGGGAAGGTGCATTGCATAGTTTGCTGGTGAAGGAGTTTGCTGACAGCCAGGTTGAAAGCTACAGTCGCTGGCTGAGAGAACACGAGAAAGACAGGTCTGTGTTGAGCTTGAGGGATTGGTTGAAGGAGGAAGCGAGGATTCGGGTTGAGGCAGTCAAACTGGCACATGGAATC